GGTCCAGGTGAGTGGTCCAGGCGAGAGGAGGTAATGGCTAGAACATGGAGAGAAATGAAGAGAGTCAAGGGGTATTGAGAAGGACTTCATACTGATTGGGCTGTGAAGGTGCCTAACGCGGGGCTGGAGGAGAGGCTGAGTGTGTCCTGGGTCTCCAGCTTGAGCATCTGGAGGCAGATGGCGGGATGGTGCTGTGTAGGGAGACTTCAAATCTGCAGGATGCGTGGAGGCCCCAAGGTGTCTTGAGTTCTTCTTGAACCATACACATTTGAAGTTTGAGAACAGGCAGGTGGATGTGGGGCAATTCCATGCTGAAGTTTGGAATGTGGATGGTATTGGACGAAATCTCTGAGAACGGGCTGTGAGAATGTATGAGAGTGTGTCCGGGGAGATGAAGAGTCAGTGACCCGGGAATGGCCCATTCTAGGAGGAGGGCCGAGAGACAGAAGCAGAAGGAACATCGGCGCTAATTCTTAAGAGTGTTGAGGACAGCCTCTCCCTGAGCTTCTAATCTTTTAAATCTAGAGGTTTTTTGTTAAAGAAAAGTACTTTTATAGTAAAAAAATAAAAAAATAAACATATTTTAAATGCCCAGTGTCTGTGATTGATCTCTTCTGATTATTGTCATCCATTTTTATCAACTATAAGTGGTGTCAGATGGATACTAGATTTATCGAGGTGATCCCTTCATAAGTTATATAAGTGTCTAATCACTGTTGTACATCTGAAATGAATATGTTGTATGTCAACTGTAACTGAAAACTATAAAATTATTAAAAGAACAATAACTGTCACGAAGTAAGTGTAGAGTAAGACATTTGGATCACAGTGGCTACTCATTTATTTATTAGCTCTGTGAATTTAGGCAAATGATTTAACCTCTTTCATCTTTGGTTTTATCATTCGTGTGTGGAGAAGTAAAATCCTCATCCACAAAGTCATTTTAAAGTAGAAGATCCTTCTCAACATGCCCCATGAAGACCTTCATTTATTCAACACATACTGCGTTCGTTGAGTGTCTGCCATGAGCCGAGCACTATGGGTCTGGGCACTGGGAACAGTGGAGAATGAGCCAAGTGAGGTCTGAGCTCACGTGGATTTTGACTTCAAAAGGGGAAGTAGACAATAAACAAGTTAGCCAACTAAATAAAATGGATTTCATGGTAGGTAGTCCTTTGGACGGGAAGGAGGGGCAATTTTAGACCAGATAGTCAGGGAGGGCCTGTCTGAGAAAATAACATTTGTTCTGAGACCTGAATGCCCCAAAGTATCTAGACATGGAAAGATCAGGAGAAAGAGCATTCTAAGCAGAGTCAAGGGCAAGGACAAAGGCTCAGAAGGAGAAAGAAACTCAGTGAGTTTGAGGAAAAAGGCCAGGAGAGGTTGGTGTCACGTGCGTTGGTGTCTCACCATATTCCCAAGGTGGGCAGTCCCTCTGTATCAGTGATGCTTGACCCACAGGGTGGGTGCCATTGGTGGATTAAATTAGGTACGAGTGATGGTTATCTAGAGCTCAGCCTTCATCAGTTTCCAAGTCTATATGCAGGTGTGAAACTGTATCTCCCACTGAAGGCAGCAACTGTCAATTATCCACACAGCTGGATAACAATTCTGTTGGCTGGTAATAACACTCAAAGCTGCCAGACACTCAAAAGGTTTTCAGTTCCCTATCCCCCTCTTCTCACCGATTGTGTATTTGTGTTGCCCCTTCTGCCTTATGTGGATCACAACCACCACACACTCCAGTT